AAAATTCGCTAAATTTTTTTGTTCGTTGTATAACACGAATTAGCCACCCGATGCCCTCGCACAAAGACTATTATAAACCATATAAAAAGATTTTCAATAAATTGTGTAACTATACCGGAATCAATTTCCTAATTTGGACGGTCCTACCCCTACCTTAAAAAGATATCATTAAAATCACCATCACCCTTAATATCATCACTACATTAATATCACTACATCACCTCCTATTGATATTAAGGCATTCGTCTTGTAACTTTGCATTGTTCTATTAGCTTCTCAACCAGTATAAAAAACCTTCTTTCGTCTCTGAGTTATATTTATCTCCCCGTACACCGTTGGAGTTGAATTGGCCCTTTAGTCATATTATTTCATAAGCTTTCCCTACAACGGTTACAATATGGATTAGTGAAATAAGTGATAATAATAAATCAGCGCAAATAGAAAGACATTAGATAAAGGTATATTGCTTAAATGCATTATCATTATGCCTACAGAAAAATAAGATAATGAATGAGAAATGAATAGCTATCATAATACTCAAATCAAAAATGATTTTTATATATTAAATTTATAAGAAAAAATTTAATAGCTTATTTTGTAGACTTTGAAATTAATAATCATTGTATTCACCAACTAAATTAACAATAATAAAAGAATTAACGAGAATTAAATAAAATACATTAAAAAAATAATTTAAAAATAATTGACGCAATATACGATTGGTGTTTACTATCACTGTTGAAGAAATATCGACCTGTAATGCAAAGCAAAAATTCAACTTTGTGTAGCTTAATATAAACATTTTAAGACTACATATGTATATCTCTAGTTGAATACAAAAATGATACTTTCAAAGCATCTTCGCTGGTAATAATTGAAAAATATCAGCTTGAAAAATTAAATGCCAGCAGACCTTCTCATATCCACTGATTTGATTTTTAGGGGTCTTTTTTTCGATAACCTGTTACACGAACTTTTGCTATTAAGTGACATGGAGAATAACAAGCGAAACATTTAATAAAAATTTTTTAGCCTCTATATGAGATAAATAAGCAATATATATTAAAAAAAGCAGCTACTCTAAGTTGTAAAAGAAAGAACTATCACTAGGTTCGGGTATTTTCAGGTAGTGAAGGATTGGTTTGTCATTTGACGATTGGTTGTATAATGTGTAAGGGTGAATTCGGATGCAATTTTTCAAGACAACATCCTTTTTAACTTACTTTCAGCTAATAGTTAAACATGTAGATATTACAATATTCTATATATTTAATTATGAATTCAAAATAAGTTTAAAAGATCGGTTTTGTAAAAACTCACTTTGTAATAAATTTTAACGACAAACAATCTCAATCATGATTGGCTAATTTTAGGGTCAAACCGGTCGATATTTTTAAGTCGATTTCTAAGTATTTTTAAAACTTTTTCAATAAATATTATTAGAAAGTTGATTTTTTTTGCTTACATCCACGGGTCACCTGTGGGTTGACTTACCCGTTTCTACCCAGGTTACCATAATCCAATCCGGGCTATTTGCCTCTCTGCGGGTAATCTGTTTGCACCCATCTGGGTCCAATCACTACTTTAATTTACAATTAGCAGATCCAAAACACACCATAAAGTCAAACAAATTTAAGCATTAACCTAAATTTTTACTATTAAAGAGTTTATACCTATCTAAAATTAAACGGTTGACAATAAAAGTTTATTTAATATATATACATTAATTGATAAAGCAGCCTTATGCAAAGTATTCCTAATTATATTTAATCTATTGCATAATTTTGCATCCTTCAATAAACAACAATGTATTTTAGCTTCTAAGTTTTAGGTTTAAAATTATTTTGAGATTCTTTGCATAGTGGAATACTAGTTCTAGAGATTGGACCTGTTGAGAAAATCTCTACCCGGGTATTATTAAATTCGGGTAAATTATTATATATTTTGGGTAATCATATAGTAACAATTTCTACCCGAGTCCAATCTCTAGCTAGTCCTTTCTAATGCTGTGAATAATATTGGCCATAATTTTTATTAATAACAAAATATTATATTATAAATATGAAAATATAGTAATATAGTATTATAGTAAATGCAAAGAATTATAAGAACCCAAACTATAACAAATAGCAAAAATCAGAGATTTATTGATGTAACAGTCAGGAAAGATGTCACACCATGTGATAAATTATAATAAAAATTATAATAATAACATATAAATTTACTATAAACTTTAATCTCAAGATCCTTTTCAACTTAAAAATTAACTTATTTTCAAATTTTGGGGTTAAACATATTGAGAATAGTAGAATAAGATTACTTAAAATGACTTTTTAAAATTCTATAAAAATTGAAGATTTTACTAGTAAAATTTATGAAAAAAACTTTTTATTAATTTTGAGAATGTATTATATATAAAATTTTATACTAAACAAGTTGGCTTTAAAGACAAAAATAGGTTGTCTTAGTAGAAAAAAGTTTGTTATAAATAAACTTCAAAATTTTATGTTTTCATATAAAACTTTTTTTTCTACTAAGATAATCTATTTTTGTTTTCTAAGTGAACTTGTTTAGCACAAAATTTTACATACTTTATATTTCACCAAATTTCATTTTTTGAACTTTTTACTAAATAAAAACTAAGTTAAAATTATATAAAAAATTTTGTTTTTAAAAAAAATTTTTATATAATTTTAACTCAGTTTTTTATTTAATAAAAAATTCAAAAAATAAAATTTGTTGAGATATAAAGTATGTAAAATTTTGTGCTGAACAAATTTACTTAGAAGATGAAAATAGATTATTTTAGTAGAAAAAAGTTTTATATAGAAAAACATGAAATTTTAAAATTTATCTATAACAAACTTTTTTTTTACTAAAACAATCTATTTTTGTTTTTAAAGCCAACTTGTTTAGCATAAATTTTATATATAATTATATTTTCAAAATTAGTAATAAGTTTTTCATAAAATTTTACTAGTAAAATCTTTAATTTTTATAGAATTTTAAAAAGTTATTTTAAGTAATCTTATCTTACTAGTCTTAATATATTTAATCCAAAATTTGTAAATAAGTTAATTTGTAAGTTAAAAAAGATCTTGAGCTTAAAGTTTATAGTAAATTTATATATTTTTATTATAATTTTTATTATATATTAATACTTACATAGTGCTATTGATGATGATGTATCACTTTGGTAGATTTGGATCACAGATAATTAAATTAGTAGCCAATAGTGAATAGAGATAACTATCATGCAAGTAATGATTTCAGCCAGAGCATAAGTTACCAACAGGATTCAGATCTGAGCTTAGTGTAATTGATATATGTAATACAAAAATATAACAATATATATAATGAAAGTATTAATAATAAATAAAGTCATAAACAAGATTTCACCTTAATACTAAAAAAAAATCCTCATATATCAACAGATTTGACATTTTTATTAACTGATAAAATTTTGTATAAAGTTAACAAGAAGACTATTTTTAATTGATATCAATATCTAGGTGCTATATCTTAAAAAACTGACTAAAAAACAGAGTTATATTTACTAATAAAAATGTTTAAAACCTCAAAACTTTGAGTAATCTAAATTTGAACTAGTATATGTATATATAGATTCTGTGTCAGGTTAATACAATATGCAATGCAGATCAATTAACAATTTTTTATAAACAAGTTTTAAACTTTGAGCAAAAATGTTTTAATAATTATTTAACCAAATTCAATAGAAATTTTTTTATTTAAATTTTATAAATTTTAGAATTCAAATAAAAAAATTTTTATTAAATTTAATCAGGTAATTATTAAGATATTTTTATTAAAACTTTAAAAAAAAATTAACAATTATTTTAAAAATATTTTTGCTTTTTTTAAAAACTTTAAATAAAGAATCTTAACAATTATCTATTTTTTTTTTTTTTTTTTTTTTTATCTTCGCAATGTCGCAGAAGGGCGAATTTTTATTAAGTATATTAGTAGTACATTCTTGGTTAACGAGAGTATAAGCTAGCTATACCTGTGCCTTTTGAGCGCCTAATTAAGTAGCTACCTATTACTAGGGTCTATACTAGATGCTATATCTATAACCCACTATTATTTGAGCTATCCAATTAAACTCTCTGGTGTCACTAGGGTGTCTGGCACGGCAAAAAAATTGGCATGCTATTAATGCAAATGGCATGCCATGTGGTATGCCACATGTTATACATAATTTTGTCCTACATCAGTTGGCATGCCCAAACAAATTAGCATACTACTAGCATGCCACACATTATATTATTAACACAAAAAAAAGTTAAGCACCCGTAAATCCTCAGTACTTCCGATTTTTGCATCCAAACTAGCTTCTTTACAAATATATTTAAAACTTTTTAGCAGTTGCTTTTTCTAACTATATTAACTGTTAAATAATGAGTAAATCAATGATTATATAACTATATTAAACACAAATTTATTTAATTTAACTTGCAAATTTAATGTCTATAGTAAAATAATAGAAGTACGTCTCAAGAGTTCAACTATGTAAGGAGTTACTAAAATACTTTATTGATTTAAAAAACTTATAATAACCATATATAGATTACAACTTTTAAACTTTAGATTGAAAAAAAATTTTGTCAATCGACCAATCTTCAGTACTGTCTGTGGCATTTTGAAGAAAAGTATCTGAACTTTCATCACTAACATTTTGATTTTGTTCGAAAGCATTCATATCAAAGAACTCTTCTATCATTAATTCATCATTCATATCAATAGTCACTACTTCAACGTCAAATTCCAAGAGCTCTTCTTCGAACCCTTCTTCTTCAAAAAGAAGATTGTTATAAGAATTTTCAACATTCGTAATCTGTAGATAAAGTGAATAAAGTTTGTTCTTTAGGTTTTTCTTTTAATATTTCAGGTAGTCTTTGTTGAAGATTGTGACAAAGCATCCCAAGCATTCCCATCAAGGTAGTAGACATTCTGTTTCGTGATTTTGTTTTTACAAGCCCAAGCTAGAGAATAAGCATTCAACAGCTGCTGAATGGAGGACAATTGAAAAGATCTTCATAGCAAATTATTGAAGAAGTGGAGAGCCTTCAGTAAACTGTGCCCAGAAAGTTCTAGGATTAGTATCTTTTAATTTTTGTAAGTACTAAAAGAAACATCTTTATTTTTATAATTTATAAGTTTTTTATATAAAAGAGTAGTTTCTTTTTTATCAAAGCCCCAAATTTTTGCTAATTGTAAAGAGGCTCTTATACTTATATCACCGGTCAATTTTTTTGATATTGCAATCTGTTTATAGTATAGCGATAGAAAAAAAGAAACAAAATAGATATTATCTGAAAATTTACGAGCTCATTTGTCAATAGATGCTAATGCATATTCTTTGAATCCATCAATTAGAATATTCACTTTGATAATAGTATAATAAATATTAATTAGCTCTTTAAAAATATCAGCTAATGTGGTATTTCTCGATTTCAGACAACCAATGGCATCTACGATTGGAATAAGCACAGTAACTAATATATCATTGTTAGCAAAATGATCACAACTATTAACTATGTTTTGAATTTCTGTTTTAATCATAGGGTAGTTACTAGTTCCGCTAAGATTGATACATTGTTGAAATCCTCTTTCGAATGATTTTACGCTCAAACAAACTTTTGCAAGAGAGTACCATCGTGTTTCACAAAATGTTGTAAGTGAATAATGTACACCTTCTTTTTTTTTGCCAATCTTGCAATGTTCGAAGCCAGAAATGCGAAAACGTGAAAAAATTGACAAGCTTTTGATTATTTTTAATAACTGCAAGTAATGGCTGAAAGAAGAAACATCTTTTGCAAGTAGGTTAAAAGAATGAAAGCAACAATGAATAGGAATTATATTCAGATAAGCTACAGAATTAGCAGAGACTGAATTTAATTGAAGAACTTTTTCGAGTTTCTCTTTAAGAAAAATTGCAGTATAATGATTTGCTGATAAGTTGACAATATCTAAAATATACTCTTTCTCTTCTTTTAACGCTATAAAGACATAAATAGAGTTTCGAGATATATCTTGCCATCCATCTAAGACAATAGTAAGATCAGTAAGAAATGACATTGTTTCGAATTTTTTAGCTAGATAAGCAGAATATGAATTATAAAGAAGTTTAGTATTCAACATTTCTGCAGAAGGTGGACAATAGTTTGGGGCAAGTTCATGAAGAAATTCAAGAAAATATAGGTTTTTGACAAGTTTAAAAGACAGATTGCCATAAATAATAGCATTGAGCAATTTTTTGTTAATTTTAGCTTGCTTCTCTAATGAAAGTGGCTTAACAATCCAACTTGGCAAATTATCTTGGTGCTTTAATGCAGATAAGAACAAACTTTCGACTACATCACTTGAACTATAAAAGCTAAGTTAATAAAGTATTCTAATCATTATTAAATTAATTAAATAACATACTCAGAATAATCTTAATCCAGATTAACTAAAGCCTTCTTTCAAGATTTAGGCAAAGAACTAGTAGCTTTCTTAATATAATCACTTTTTTCAGGAACAGGCCAGTTACTGCATGTAAGAACATGACCATGTAATTTGTCAGGTCTGCCAGGTAACTCTAAATTACAATAGAAACATTTGGCAGTATATCTATTTCTTGAAATTTTATCTACGGAATGCCAAAAACCAGACCAATGATGATCATGGTTTGCCATGTTAGAAAGAACAAAATTGGGCAGTGGTTGAGACTGCATTGTGTTAAGTTGAATTTAAGTTTTTATTACTATAAGCACTAATTAAAGCTTGAGATATGTTTTTTTTTAAATCGAACTATTGGAAATTGAGTCAATTTGCACAATAATTTTTTTCTTTTTTTTTATTTATTTTATTTATAGGATTTTGATTATAATTTAATTTTAATTTCTACAGAAAAAATTTTGGAAAATGCCCAATATTTCGATCATAGTATAGATTAAGATTACTTCCAGATTAGACCTGTATTGTATGGAGTATCTGAGAATTTTGCGATATTCTTTTTATTGTAAAAATTTACTTATAATATTATGGTAATAAAAGGCTTATTTTCCCATAATGAGAATTTGATTTTTCGTGCAAATAAAATGTAGATACTTTTCTTTGTTATATAGATCTGTTAATGAGAATTTTAAATAATATGTATTGTAAGAGTTGGGAAAGCGATTCAAATCATAATCAGATATCAATTTTAAATAAAATAAGTGGTAAAAACAAGTAATGTATAAATCTTTTTTAAAAATATGTACTTATTTACATAATCATTTACCGTTAATGCATAAAATAGAACTCTTTAACCCCTCACTTATTTTCGAAATTGGTTAACTCTAAAACGGTTGTTCTGAATAATGCTTTTATTATTAATTTATTGAAATAATTCATGTAATTGTTTCTATACAATTTATTAAATATCATATACCTAAAGGCACATGTTTTTGTTTCAATCTAAATATTTGATTCAACACATATATGGTTTGGAGCCCGGAAAAACCAGACTAAAACACAAATTCAAGTGCTTACATTTTTAGAATTTGATGAATAACATCATAAGACATCAGATAAGCATAATTAATGTACTGCTAATTTATGGAACCCTGATTTGATATCCGAGTAATTATGATAACGATAAAAGTGTAAAATTGTATACGTAGAAGTAAATACAAACCGGTGAATAGTTATTATTTTTATTTTACCGTTATGCTATATGTACCTCTAATTTAATTGTACTTATTCTTAATTAAGCAATTCTTAAAGTTCACATGAATACGTATTGATTGCAAAATCATTATATGTACCACTATGCTATTTTGGTGTAAATAATGCGATCTATTATATTATATATATTAGTAATATATATACACATAAATATAATAAAAATTATGAGGTGGCATGCCAAGCCAGCTAAAGGCATGCCACCATGGCATGCCATTAATGGCATGTCCTTGCCACTTTGCCAGACACCCTAAATCACGGGTTTTCTGTGCCTAATTTGTAGATCCTTCATTTTAGCCCGTGACAATACGTACGTACGTACGTACATGATAAGTTTAACGGATAAGATGTATACGCATGATAGCCATAATGATAGCTGATTGATGAATCGACTCCTGCAAATTTATCTTTAAATATAAACCAGTTATCTCCCCAACTGTTTCAATTAATATATTTCAAGAACAAAATAGAACATTGAAATGAAAAATTGCGGGCCGGCCAAGAAGAAAGATTTGAGATTACTGCGTAACAAGTAACGTCATTAATGATCGTAGTGCAACTTGTCATTATTGTTCAGGACATTGTCCGTCCTGTAGAAATGGAAGCTCGTCTCCTAAAAACAAAAAAAATATTGGCAATAAATACTTTCTGATAAAATTATTATTATAAGCGAACAAAAGACACGTCAAAAACAATTAAACCAGCATGGTTTACTCGTTTACTGCTTGGAAATGATTATAATACGGAAGATTTAATAAATATATAGAATGCTTGAAATGAATAGTGAATATGATTTATAATTAGATTGATAAAATTTATAACGATGCTAATAATATGTGGTATGTAATGAATTTATAAAGCAATAGCTTATATCGATGTAGGGATCTTGGTCTGTAACAGGTAGTACGCACATAAAAATGTTAATAATATATGTAGTTTATATTAATATAATGCTAAAATTATTTATCATAGTTTAGCATAAATAATGCGATAACGTTAAAATATACTTTGATTTTGATTTTTGTATTTATAATACAAAATTGATTTAATTAAGTTTACATCGCTACTCATAAGTTTTTGACTCTTAAAAAAAATACGTAACCGATTCTTTCTTCAGAACCAGTGGACCCTAAGTAGTGGAAAATGCAAAAGGCTTATGCTTAATTGACGATCCAATCAACACCACTAGTAATGCTCTAAACACCTAAATCAATCAACAATGTTTAACGTTAAACCTATCAACAACGTTTAAATCCACAAACAAATTTAAACCCAAACAACCCAAATCACCAAATACATACAGCGATCTAGATAATCCAACCCACCAACCACCACCCAGACAACAAACAACGACCTAAGCCCACCAAAATAAAAACGAAAAGACGAAAAATTAAAATGTAAAAAATGTAAACAAGAAAAAAATGGATCTGATAAACATAATAACTCACGTTATTGGTTAGCTATCTAACACGTGCACATTATTAATCAAAGCCTTAAAATTATAATCCTTTAACATCAACTTTTTGTATATGATATCATATGATTTACATATCTTCCCCAGCATCGCCAGAAAAATTTTTACTATCACGTGATATCAACAAATTTGTTTAATTTTGTTTACTTAGGGTTAGAGCCTATTTTAGGGTTAGGATTAGGTGCTTTAATAGTAAAATCGGTCAAGAAAAAATTTTTATTAATGCGCAGAAGGTGGTTTCCTATATGAATTTTTGAGTTATGAGCGATTTTTTCTAAGCGAACGTTACACTAAATGGTGGTTCATTATTGGCTTGATTTTGTTGATCATCACGTGACAGTAAAATTACATAGTGATTTTTCTGGCGATCCTGGGGTAGTTCAGTAAAATAATGAATAGATTAGGTAAAAAGTTAATCAGCAAATCAATGTTAAACTGATTATTTTAACATACATATTCTTGAATATCAGGAGAGAATTGCGCCTTAACTACGTCTTCTTTGATACGATATTCTTTTTTTATCAAATTCGACATTTTGTAGAAAGAGGCGAATTTCCAAAGTTCAGCTACAATTCATAATTAATATAACAGAATTTCATGTTACATCGATTACATTGATGCAATAAATTTAATTACAATTTAATTTCGCCTAAAAATAGCATACAAGAGTTTATATTCCTACGTACGTACGTACGTAGATAATTCTAATATCAACTATCACAATATGCCTGAATTTAATTCATAGTATTATGTAACCTTATGTAAATGTTTATTGAACCGTGTAATTTTGATTTGTTGTTTTATGTTTTTTGTATTACCTCCCGAGCCGCCATCTTACCCATTTTATCCAAAAAGGAAATTGCATGCTTAACCAATTTTGTACGTATTGTACTGTCGATTGGTCATAAGCGGGGAATAGATTAGTGGGTTCACTAAAATTCAGTAAATCGGCCCGAATTTGGGGTCAGGGATGGGCCGAAGCAAAGTGGCATTAATCAACAATACCGGCCGACTATATTATAGCAAAATTATCATTTGGGCAGCTTGACTTAGTGCATAGGCTGCCACTTTATTAGTAAAATTTTGGGTGATTTTAGAAAAAACAAGAGAAAATGTGGCGCCGGTGGCGCCCTATTTCATTAATTGCGTCAATTCTGGTCAAATTCTTTAATAAATGTCATGTAATTAATATTGAGCCAGGGATTACCACAAGCAGTTGAGTTGGTGCAGCTTCATACTGACCGATGGCTTCTCACCTGCATAATGCAGGCTGGCTATCAACATGACCATGTGATATTTAAGTTCAGTAGCTATAATATGGAAATGGCAGATTTCCTTGATAGAGAGGTCAGGGTCGCGAATTGAGATCAGCTAAGGCCGAATTGGTGAATCAGCCGCTTTCTCACAGCATCTATTATTAAGATAGAATTACTATATGCGAAATGTTATTTAGAATCATACTCTTACTGTAATCTTGATTACAGGATTATGCGAGATTGGTCCTGTTTCCGTTGCTATTTCCACAGGGCACGTTACCCCTGCTTAGCTCTGTTGACTTTTTGTCAACGAATGAAATTTCAGTGGACCGGTATGGTATAGGTGAGCAGTTTATAAATCGGCCTGTACTATACGGATCGGTTCACTTGTGCCATAAAATCGCCGAATAATTTTTTCTCACGTATTTCTACTTTATAATTACTAAAACAGGGGAACGCTAAAGCCAGGGGAGTTAGAATTACTTTTTTGATGCAGTTAGGGTTACGTTTTTGATGCAGTTAGGATTACTTTTTTGATGCAGTAATGGTTATTAGTTTATGTAAATATCAAGAGGATAATTTATGCAGCATAGATCATTTCCAAGTTTTTACCAAATGCACCTGGCTTTAACGGAGGTATAGACATGACGATTTTCATATATCATTATGCAACCAAAAATACCATTCCTTTTTTAGTTAGGTTCATACGCGAGATTACAGCTGTACGTACGTATAAAAATGATGCCATCATAAAATTTCTATACAAAAATTACAACTTTTTTGCACGCTATCACAAATTATTAGATTTCGCCGATTAGATCTCATAATTATCGTGTATAAAATTTCTTATAATAAAATTATCACCCGTCACGATGGGGTGTTCGATGCACTATGTAAATCAAATATATGTATAGTCCTATATTTATATGATATACCGATTTTTTTTCAATTATACGTAGTACAGTAACATTGACACTTATTTATTTTTAACGGTTGAACTTTTCGAATTTTTATTAATAATTATTTTACTATTTTATTATAGTTATAACAAAAGATTCTATGTAGCTTCGATATACAGTATACCTAAGGTCGAAGTAAGTCTAAAAAAACTTTAGTCGCTTCTTCTTCCCCATACATTTCTATATTATCTTCTAAAGATTCTTGTGATTGCCTTTTATTTTTACGAACTTCTTTAAGCTCCAAAGCAATCTTTTCTTCATTTATATTTCCTGACAAAAGCCGTAATTTTGACTGTTTCATGTTCTGAGTCATATTAGGGTGAGTCTTTAAGTTTAATTTGTTAAAAAGCCCTTCCACTTGTTGTTGATGGATTACAATAAAGTAAATTCGCTCTTGAACAAATTTATACAATAACGGGTATTCATGAATTTTAGGATTGGGTGTAGAACAAAAACTTTGAAATTTATCCATAAAGTTTAAGCTATCTAATAATTCCTCTAGAAGGCCAAAGGTATTATTAGAAATTTCAAAATCATCACGCAATTGTTGCGCAAATCTATTTCATGTTCTGTTAGTTCTGAAAGCTATGGTAATTGCAAAATCACATTGTAGAATGCCCTCGCGAATTCATGACCAGAATTTCCACCCAACCGGCAAATCGACAATAGCAAATGTACCCATGAAGACATCCATTTTAAAAAATGGTCATATGCCTTGTTCATTCCTCGTTCTAAACTATCAAACAATTCACTAAAACTTCACACTTAAGTTTTTTAACGCCATTAGTAATTTTTCTCCAAAAAATATATCAAAGTTTTCTTTAAGTTCTTTTAAAAAACTAATCTATTCAATCACTTTGTCAGGCATTTCGTGGGCTCACCGACCGGGTGGAAGTTGAATTAAATGATTATCTGATAGGATATAAGGTATTGGGTCTTTTCCAACCATGAATTGCATAAGTGGTTCATATAAATGCTCTCCGAATTTAACTAAGCACTGAACTTGGATGTTTAATTTTTCATCTAAAAGCCAGGTTTGAAATAATCGCCAATCTGAAAGATATGATTCTGGTGTACCACGATTATTTTTGAGCATTCGAATGAACCAACTAGTAAATATTATATGTGCTTCACACCAATCCAGATACTGTCTAGCAGCACGTAGTTCATGTCCCCAGCGACCTTTAATCAGCAATTGATATTGTGAAAAGTTGTACCCTAATAATTTATTATATAATTTTTTAATCTTTTCTGAGCTCATATTAAGAGGTTTTTCTTTGTTACTTGAATTATATCCATCATGTAGATACCAAGCTAGATATAACAAGTTAAACGGTTGTGGCTTTCTTGACAATCCGATTGAGGAAGTAATTTCCCGAATGCTTCTTCTTCGAAATGCGATAGAACTATATGCATTATATGCATTCCACATTCAATTCATGTTGTATTGATATTGCTTTTTTATTGAATTGAACCACTGCTCCCTTTACCACAGGTCGAATGAAGCCATATCAGGAATTTACATGTCAGATAAATATCGGAAACATATCGGGAGTCGATATGTCACCAATATTAGTTATTAAAAATCATACGCCTATCGGGCTAATCGATAGGCCTATCGGAAATCCTGACACAGATCAAATGAA